GAATTTGAATGACTATTTGGCTACATTTTGAAATGTATATATGCATGGTATTTAAAATCTGGAAATTTTCTTCATTTGTTTACTTATTTTTTAAGCAATGAATTAGGGAATTATAAGATATTGGAGTCATAATATTTTCTCCATTTTTTTGCTTTCTGTTGATTAGACATATCAAGGATTTTTGTGGAAGGGGCTTTTTAAGACCATGTTGATATCAGATATTTAATAAGAAAATGGTGTGTAGATGATGACTCCCCCCCCCAAGACAGAAAACGTAAACACATATGGAGTCTCAGGACCTGGGGTCTTGACCACACATAAGAATTGTAGCTCCTGAGAGTCTTCTGGGAGGAACGGATGGCTGAGGAAGGGAGGGGGCACCAAGCATCCTGGACACTTATGGAGGTTCAGAACCTTGTGTGATACATGGGTAAGAGACCATCAATGAAGGGCTTACATTGGTCTATTTGAGTTCCATGTTTTCAAAGGCATTTGGTGTGTAAACATGTATTTCATCAGACCCTTAAATCCAGGTGGGGAAGAGTTCTGTCCCTGTGAATACTTCGAGCCATCTTAGCACAGAAGCTAGGCTATTCATTCTCATTCGGAATTAGTTCTCCTTCCACAATTTTTGTATCTACCATCTTTGTGTTGCAGACATAGGACAAGGGGAGAAACTGTGATTCTGGAGTTCAGGCTTAGACCTCATAGCAGGAAAGAACTGTACAAACACGTATTTAATAATATTTGACTTTAGCATTTAATATCATTTGACTTTAGCATCTATTCATTTTATTTCATTTATTATTAATTTTTAGGCTTTTTATATTTTTTATTTCATATTTAAAGTTTTTAGATTTTTACAAAAACTTTACTGAGAATTTCATACATGCATGTAAGGTGTTTTGATCAAATCTGTGCCCACGTCTTCCCTTCCAACACCTCCCATATCTCCCCATCACTTTGTTCTTTTTCTTCTCCTTTCTTCTTTCATTTATTTATTTTTATTTTATGTGTATGAGTGTATTGCCTGCATATATAGAAATACACCAGTGTTGTGCAATACTCTTGGAGGTCAGAAAAGGGCATCGGATCCCCTGGAACCAAAGTTATGGATGGATGTTAGCGGCCATGTGGGTGCTGGGATTTGAACCCTCGCCCTCTACAACAGCAACTAGTGTTCTTAATTGCCGAACCATTCTCTCCAGCCCATTTCAATGTTTTCTTTTTTTTTTTTTCTGGTTAGCAACAACAGAAAGAATATTTAGTAAATGTGTATGAGTTGATTAGAGTATGTAGATAGGAAATATAGATCATGAATTTAATTCTAGTATGGTGACCAAATGATAATATTTAAGTATTTTATTTTTTAAAATCTTTTATGTATATGAATATATTGCCTGCATGTGCGTAAGGATATCTGTGTCAAGCAATGCCCACGGAGGTCAGAAGCAGACATTAGATTCTCCTGGAACTGGGGTTATGGACAGTTGTTAGATGCCATTGTGGGTGGTGGGAATCAAATCCAGGTCCTCTGCAAGAGCAGCCAGTGCTATTAACTACTGAGCCATGTCTCAGCCTCCAAATTGTAATATTTAAATATAATTTTATTTGATTATCTACACCTATAGTAATAGGCTCTTGAGTCTCATTCTTGTTAGGAATCTGTGAGGTCAAAAAATGTTTACATTTTCACATCAAAATCAATGTGTGTGTGTGTGTGTGTGTGTGTGTGTGTGTGTAAGTATTTTACTACCATTAAAGCTTCAAGAGCTAAATGCAGACCATTTACCTTTCTGAGCTGTGATTTTCTGTGAGGCCCAAAATAGAGCCCTTTCCTCTATTGTCTATGTACCTACAGATACAAAATTTGAGCTGAGTGTTGATATTATGGTCAGAAGGGAGGTCATCAGAACATTTGTTTCAGAATGCAGGGTGATCACAGTATGTGCCATCATTATACTGGAATTCCACAGAGTAGTGTGATATTGTAAAAGTACAATTGTAAAAGTTTCTTGACTGAATCAAGAAACAAATATGTATAAAATATATTTACCAACAATGACAAAATGACCCTGAAACATAAGAAATACTGTGTAAAACAACAACACATGATGGGGATTGGCAGTAATACTGATATTTATCTTAAGTATTCAATGTTAAAATATTAACCAATATTAAAGCAGTTTCAAGATGCACAATGTAGGGATTGAAGAGATGGCTCAATGGTTAAGAACACTGGCTGCTCTAACAGGGGACCTGAGTCCAGTTCACAGCACCCGCATGGCAGTAACAACTATCCATAATTCCAGTTCTAGGGGATCTGATGTCTTCTTCACAGCATGACACACCTGAAATTGCATGCATGCAGGCAAAGCACTCATACACATAAGTAAAAAATAAATAAAATCCAAAGTATTTTTAGTCTTTTCAGATGTAACTGAAAAATTTCAGGTTACATATTTTCATTTCTGCTAGTGAAATTTCACTTTGAGATACTGGGTCACATTGGACAATAATGCGATGGTGTAACTGATGCACTCATATGCCTCTTCCTGCAGGTGAATAATTTCATTTTAGACCTTCACCAAGGAATGCACGTGATTTTTGTCTCACGTTATAATTTTTACATATCAAAAGTTAAATATTTATAAGTGGTACTTTGCTGAATTTAACCAGTGTTTTTTTTTTTAAAAAAAAGCACATTCAGACTTATTATGTGAGCCAAGATGTGAGTCCTTGGAAGTAAGTCTTCAATGTTGTTCTGTCATTTGGGGGGTTCTTATTTTTCAGTGTTTGAATCTTTCTTGGCATTTGTCTTGTTGATATAAAGCACGGGTCCTAAGAAACTAATGAATGAGACTCAATATTGATGCCAAAAGGTATAATCCATCACGGCCTCAGTGGAGGTCGGGTGCTGTGGTGGGAGGATGCTGAGGGGTGACAGGTATGGATGGCGAACACTCCTTTCTAACCCTGTCTACTATAATTGCTTTACAAATAACATTTCAGATTTTTAATTATCATAAAAGCCAAACTAATTCCTTCAAAGACTAAGCATCAATTAAATCCTGGTGTAAATCCTAGTTGCTTAATCCTTTAGTAAGTGTATAAAAATCATCATAGATTCGTGTTTTAAGTAGGTTTATTTCCTCTTTTTCACTTAGGAATTTTCTAGTTATGTTTCTAAGTCTTCA